TTCCCATCTGAGGAGTAGACTTGAGTGGATTTTAAGAGAGGAGTATTCAGCCCTCAGGGCATTCACAAACCTAGAATTAGAGAAAAATAGCATTCATTATTAGAGAAAAGTAGTATTCACAGCAGCTGGGGACTTTCCCATCAGTCCCTGGTTACTTCCTAGAAGATCAAGACCAGCCAAGGAAACAAAATGAGGAAGGGAGAATGCTGGGATTAAAAAGATATGTCACTGACCATGTTGCTTTGTGAGAGTCTTTGTCCTTGTATCATTCAGTATAGGGTAGGTTATGCTGAGGTGACTAATAGCCCCCAACTCTCAGGGACTAAGAATAGTAAGAAGTAATCTTTTCCTATGGTCATCAAGTGTTAGCAGGAAACTCTGCTTATCATGGTCACTCAGGGACCCAGTCTGGTGAAGTAACCATTATTCTGAATTGCTGGTCACCGTGCAGAATTACTTAACATGGCCCCACTGACCACAAGGAAGTGAGGAATCATAATGCTACCTTGTGCTCTCAGGTGAGGACCAATAGGAACATCACCACCACAATCCTAGTTGGGAACCATACCACCATAGTCCTAGTGACCAGAAAGCCAGCCAGTACCAGAGCCCCAAGCATAGGCACTTGTGGTTTCCAAATCTTTAGGCTCAGACTGATTCGTAAGAACAAAGGAGCTACAGCCATGTATCATACATCCTGTGCTACCACCACAGTCTTGAATCCCTTGCCCAAGACAGGAGCGTTTGCTTTTTGTGAGAGTTTGTGTCTGTCACCTAGTGTGACTCATCCATTCTCCAGTGCTGTGCCCCTCCCACTGCAGGAGCTACTCCCATGCAGGACTTGTCTGTCAGGCTGCAGCACCCCTGCACATGGGGCTGACTGCCTGTGGGAGCGCAGAGCGCCCAGCCTGATTGCCTCAGCCTGAGGAGCTGCCGTTCGGTGCTAACCTGACTCTCATACGTACAAGAGCCCAGCCTGCTGATCTGTAGCAAGATATGACAGAGGAGAGCCACTAATGTCCACATCTCCAGCTGCCAGGGTGTGGGGCAAATTCGCCGGTGACTTTGGCCAGCCACAGTGAGTAGTTCCAGGTCCTCCTTCTCCTTCCAGTGACTTTCTTTGGAGAGGAATTTTAGAGATGAGCAGTCACTTATGAGTCTGTATTTGTGAGGCTTTGGTGATTTGGGGTTTAATTAGTAACATGTGTAGTCTATCAGTGAATTTATACAGTGAATAAGCAAACATACACAGTGAATAAGAAATTTGTTAACTTTGAGGCACTTTTTTATCATTATTTTCCCTCATCAGACCTTGTAATGTTTTATCTACAATTTTGGCTTATTATGAAAGTGTCACTAGCCTCAAATCCTTCTTGAAACTGAGGAATATTTTCATACCTTCTCAAAAAGTCCTGCACCAACGACCAACCTACGGCAATGAAAACTGTTGGCCTTACACATTCTTCTTCTCAGAAGAGACTTTCTCAAGAGGACAGTAAACTTTGAGGAGATTTCTCTCAGTTCTGAAGATTGTCTTCGTTGTGTTATTCTTTGTATTGCGGGGATATGGCTACACTCCCCGTCTTTTATACTATTTCTTAAAAGAGTGTAATTCATACTTTATTCTTTTCTTTTTTCTGAAAGATTCTGTCAGTCTCTGTTGAACGTGAGTTTTAAAAGTTTAGTTTTGCTTAAAAATGTTTATCCTGGCCAGGCGCAGTGGCTCACGCCTGAAATCCCAGCAGTTTGGGAGGCTGAGGTGGCAGATTACCTGAGGTCAGGAGTCCGAGACTAGTCTGGCCAACGTGGTGAAACCCCATCTCTACTAAAAATACAAAAAAATCAGCCGGGCATGTTGATGCGCACCTGTAATTCCAGCTACTCAGGAGGCTGAGGCTGGGGAATTGCTTGAACCAGGGAGGTAGAGGTTGCAGTGAGCCAAGATCACACCACTGCACTCCAGTCTGGGCAACAGAGGGAGACTCCATCTCAAAAAAAAAAAAAAAATGTTTTTCCTTTGGGTTTTGCCAAAATGTGTGTTTTTCCTTCTTTCTTCTTCTTCTTCCTTTTTGTTTCTAATAAGGCCCTGGACATTGTGGCTGCAGTCATTTCTCTGATATTTACTTCTGCTCTAACCCCTCCCTTCTGTCCCCGATGCCCTGTGCTCTAGTAATACAGGCCTCTTGCTTTTCCTTGTACGTATGCTCCTGGCTTCAGACCTTTGCATTGACTGTTTCTTCTGCCTGGAATTATCTTTCCCCAGTTATCTGCATAGTTTACTTAATTACCTTCTTCATGTTTTAGCTTATCCTGTTTAAAATTGCAACACTCCTACCTCCTTTCTCTCAACCTCCAATATTCCTGTTCCCGTTCTCTGCTTTATTTATTTCTTTCTTCCTGTAGGGCTTACTACCTTCTGACTTACTGCATTTTTACTTATTCATATAGATTCTGGGCTCACTACGAGCAGGGACTGCCGACTCATTTATTGCTGAATTCTTAGGACCTAGAATAGTGCTTGGCAGACAGTAGATTATTAATGATTACTTGCTGAATGAATTCAAGAAATTAACTAATCCTCTCTGGAACTGAGAGCTCTTTATTTTTATTTTTAAAATTTTATTTTATTATTATTTAAGTTCTGAGATACATGTGCAGAACAGGCAGGTTTGTTACATAGGTATACACATGCAATGGTGGTTTGCTACACCCATCAACCCGTAATCTACATTAGGTATTTCTCCTAATGCTATTCCTCCCCTAGCTACCCACCTCCCAACAGGCCCTGGTGTGTGATGTTCCCCTCCCTGTGTCCATGTGTTCTCATTGTTCAATTCCAAATTATGAGTGAGAACATGCGGTATTTGGTTTTCTGTTCCTGTGTTAGTTTGCTGAGAATGATGGTTTCCAGCTTCATTCATGTCCCTGCAAAGGACATGAACTCATCCTTTTTTATGGCTGCATAGTATTCCATGGTGTATATGTGCCACATTTTCTTTATCCAGCTTATCCTTGATGGGCATTTGGGTTGGTTCCAAGTCTTTGTGATTGTGAACAGTGCCACAATAAACATACATGTACATTTATCTTTATAGTAGAATGATTCATAATCCTTTGTGTATATACCCAGTAATGGGATTACTGGGTCAAATGGTATTTCTTGTTCTAGATCCTTGAGGAGTCACCACACTGTCTTCCACAATGGTTGAACTAATTTACACTCCCACCAACAGTCTAAAAGCATTCATATTTCTCCACATCCTCTCCAGCATCTGTTGTTTCCTGACTTTATAATGATTCTAACTGGCGTGAGATGGTATCTCATTATGGTTTTGATTTACATTTCTCTAATGACCAGTGATGATGAGCTTTTTTTCATGTTTGTGGGCTGCATAAATGTCTTCTTTTGAGAAGTGTCTGTTCATATTCTTTGCCCCCTTGTTGATGGGATTGTTCGTTTTTTACTTGTAAATTTGATTGAGTTCCTTGTTGATTCTGGATATTAGCCCTTTGTCAGATGGATAGATTGCAAAAATTTTCTCCTATTCTGTAGGTTGCTTGTTCACTCTGATGATAGTTCCTTTTGCTGTGCATTTTTTAGTTTAATTAGGTCCCATTTGTCAATTTTGGCATTTGTTGCCATTGCTTTTGGTGTTTTAGTCAATGAAGTCTTTGCCCATGCCTATGTCCTGAATGGTATTGCCTAGGTTTTCTTCTAGGGTTTTTATGGTTTTAGGCCTTATGTTTAAGTCTTTAATCCATCTGGAGTTAATTTTTGTATATGTTATAAGGAAGGGATCCAGTTTGAGTTTTCTGCCTATGGCTAGCCAGTTTTCCCAACACCATTTATTAAATAGGGAGTCCTTTCCCCATTGCTTGTTTTTGTCAGGTTTGTCAAAGATCAGATGGTTGTAGATGTTATTTTTGAGGCTTTTGTTCTGTTTCATTGGCCTGTATCTCTGTTTTGGTACCAGTACCATGCTCTTTTCGTTACTGTAATCTTGTAGTATAGTTTGAAGTCAGGTAGTGTGATACCTCCAGCTTTGTTCTTTTTGCTTAGAATTGTCTGGGCTATACAGGCTCTTTTTTGGTTTCAAGTGAAATATAAAGTAGTTTTTTCTAATTCTGTGAAAAAAATCAATGGTAGCTTGATGGGGATAGCATTGAATCTATAAATTACTTTGGGTAATATGGCCATTTTCCTGATATTGATTCTTTTTATCCTTGAGCATGGAATGTTTTTCCATTTGTTTGTGTCCTCTTTTATTTCCTTTAGCAGTAGTTTGTAGTTCTCCTTGAAGAGGTCCTTCACATCCCTTGTAAGTTGTATTCCTAGGTATTTTATTCTCTTTGTGGCAATTGTTAATGGGAGTTCACTCATCATTTGGCTCTCTGTCTGTTATTGGTTTATAAGAGTGCTTGTGATTTTGGCACACTGATTTTGTATCCTGAGACTTTGCTGAAGTTGCTTATCAGCTTTGAGAGAATGGGTTTTCTAAATATATAATCATGTCATCTGCAAACAGAGACAATTTGACTTCCTCTCTTCCTATTTGAATACCTTTATTTCTTTCCCTTGCCTGATTGCCCTGGCCAGAACTTCCAGTACTATGTTGAATAGGAGTGGAGAGAGAGGGCATACTTGTCTTGTGCCAGTTTTCAAAGGGAATGGTTCTAGCTTTTGCTCATTCGTTAGGATACTGGCTGTGGGTTTGCCATAAATAGCCCTTATTATTTTGAGACATGTTCCATGAATACCTAGTTTATTGAGAGTTTTTAGCATGAAGGGCTGTTGAATTTTATTGAAGGCCTTTTCTGCATCCATTGAGATAATCATGTGGTTTTTGTCATTTGTTCTGTTTACGTGAGAGATTACATTTATTGATTTGGTATGTTGAACCAGCCTTGCATCCCAAGGATGAAGCTGACTTGATGGTGGTGGATAAGCTGGATTTGGTTTGCCAGTATCTTATTGAGGATTTTCACATCAATGTTCATTAGGCATAGTGGCCTGAAATTTCAGTCTATCTATTTTTGGTTGGTCTTTTCAAAACACCAGCTCCTGGATTCATTGATTTTTTAGAGAGCCTTTCTTGTCTCTATCTCCTTCAGTTCTGCCCTGATCTTAGTTATTTCTTGTCTTCTGCTAGCTTTTGAATTTGTTTGCTTTTGCTTCTCTAGTCCTTTTAATTGTGATATTAGAATGTCGATTTTAGGTCTTTCTTGCTTTCTCTTTTGGGCATTTAGTGCTATAAATTTCCCTCTAAACACTATTTTGGCTGTGTCTCAGAGATCTGGTATGTTGTGTCTTTGTTCTCATTGGTTTCAAAGAGCTTATTTATTTCTGCCTTAATTTCGTTATTTACTCAGTAGTCATTCAGGAGCAGGTTGTTCAGTTTCCATGTAGTTGTGCAGTTTTGAGTGAGTTTCTTAACCCTGAGTTCTAATTTGATTGCACTGTGGTCTGAGAGACTGTTTGTTATGATTTCCATTCTTTTGCATTTGCTGAGGAGTGTTTTACTTCCAATTTTGTGGTCAGTTTTAGAATAAGTATGATGTGGTGCTGAGAATAATGCATATTCTGTTGATTTGGGTTGGAGAATTCTGTAGATGCCTATTAGGTCCCCTTGGTCCAGAGCTGAGTTCAAGACCTGAATATCCTTGTTACTTTTCTGTCTCATTGATCTGTCCAATATTGACAGCAGAGTGTTAAAGACTCTCACTATTATTGTGTGGGAGTCTAAGTTTCTTCGTAGGTCCCTAAGAACTTGCTTTACGAATCTGGGTGCTCCTGTATTGAGTGCATATATATTTAGGATAGTTAGTTGGCTCTTCTTGTTGCATTGATCCCTTTACCATTATGTAATGCCCTTTTCTGTCTTTTTTGATCTTTGTTGGTTTGAGGTCTGTTTTATTAGAGAGTACGATTGCAACTCCCGCTATTTTTTTTTTTTGCTTTCCATTCACTTGGTAAATATGCCTTTAACCCTTTGAGCCTGTGTGTTTCTTTTCACATGAGATGGGTCTCCTGAATACTTGGTATGAATGAGCATACCAATGGGTGTTGACTCTTTATCC